AAGAATTCACAGGAAAGGGTCAAAATACAGGGAACCTATTTCTTTGAAAAGAGTTGTCAGTTTGCTGTATATGTCCTTTCCACCTCCATGTGTGAATAACTCATTTGGGAAAATACTGGGAACAACTGATGGATCATGTGTTAATACTATGGTCAAATTATCTTCCAAAATGGGTGTATCATTTTGCAGCCCAACCAGCAATGAATGAATTTCTATTGCTCTCTATCTTCACCATCATCTGGTGTTGTCAGTGTTAAACCACATTGTTTAAGCACCGGTAATAATTTTATTTTAATAAGAATGGAGTGGATCTCATCATTTTAATTTGCATTTAACAAACAGCAATATGATATTGAATCTTTCCATATGTTTATTGGTCATTTGTATTCCTTTAGTCGGGAGTGTATTCAGATCTTTTGCCCATTTTAAAGTCAGATAATCAGTTTTCTTACTGTTGAGAAAGTTTTAAGAGTTGTGTGTTTTTGGATAATAACCCTTTATCAGATGTCTTTTGCAAATATTTTCTTCCAGTCTGTGGCTTCTCTTTACATTGTCTTTCACAGAGCAGAAAATTTTTATTTATCTGTCTGTTATCTGTTGTCTCTACTTTTCCCACTACAACCCTTACCCTTATTAGTCATGGTTATTCGAAATGCCTGGTTTGCTAATTCATCCCTGCCATCTTCTTGATCTGGTTTTGATGCTCACTTTGTCCATTCAAACTGTGTGTTATCTTTTAGTATGTCTTGTAATTTTTTGTTGAAAGGCAGACCTAATATACTGGGTAAAAGGAACTGCAATATAATGGTAAGGAATGGAAGAGGAAGAATTTTACAATTTTATAATTTGGTATCAGTCTTTAAATGAGCTTATGCCTCTAGATTGTGAACTTCAGAATTTTGTCAGTTGCGGTTGTTTGTAGTTCTGGGGACTGAACCCAGGGCCTTTGTACTGAGCTACATCTCCAATCATTATCTATTTTTTGTTTTGTTTTGGTTTTGGGTACCGAGGATTGGACTCAGGACCTTGCACTTGCAAGGCAGGTGCGGTGCCACTGAACTAAATCCCCAACCCTGATTACCTATTTTTTTATTCTGAGACAAAGTCTTGCTAAATTGCTCAGGCTGGGCTTGAAGTTGCAATCTTTTTACCTCCCAGAGTGCTAGAATTAGAGCCAAGCACCATCGCCCCATTAGTGGTACAGGATGATTAGAGGAGGCTGAAATTGGGTACCTCTTTTTTCCCTATTTGTTAAGTATTAGCAAAAATCATGGTAAGGCAGGCCCTGGAAAATAAGTTTCTCTGGAAGGCAAACCTTAAGAACAGAATGTCCTGGTATATTTTTAAATGGTCACATTTCTACTCCCCCTTCAGGAAGCAGTAAGCCATTTTTCTCCCATCTCTACTATGAGAACTCATAGAAGTAAAACTCACATGCGGGAGCTCTCCCAAAGAACTGGGTCTCCGTGGAATTTCTAACTCTCAGACTAAACCACAATGAGACTCCAGCAATTTATCAGTTAAATTCACGTTTTCCTACTCCAGTCATTGTTCTTGCACAGATGGGTGTCTACTTTTGTAAAGTGTGATTCCCTATTCATCTGTCTTATAGGCCTAACAACAGTTGTTAATTTCTCAATTTGTTCAGCTTTTCACCAGAGTGATGACTTCTAAGCTCCTTTCACATCAAACCACAAACCAGATATCCTCTTTCTGTTAAACAAGGTACTACAAAAATGAGAGTCTCTTCCCAGAATATAAAAAGTAAGTTAATTTTCTGCCAAAAGTTCTTTCTTTTTTCCCTACTAGGTATTGTTTACTGCATTCCAAATAGAAGTACTGGTGTATACAAGGCCTGGAACCAAGAAAGAGTCCTTTTAAAGAACTGTGACTATTCCATAAGGTTGGTGGGAGATTTATATAGCAAATTAGCGAAAAATAAGGATGGAGATGTAAACAGAATGAGGTTATTTATCTTGCAGCAGGGAGATAACAAGAGATTTGGAGAGAATGAACCATGAACCCTCCATGCTGGCGTGGTTGGGCTTAGGTCATGTTTTCTAAGGTTTGGGTGTCATTTTCCTAACAAAAGGCTCCCAACAGTAATCTTTGAGGACTCTGTGGGACGGTGAGAAGATTTCTCAAAGTTAACAATGGTCCATGAGGGAAGGGGAGTGTGAGAAGTATACTGGTAAAGGGAGGTTCACAGATGGAATAGACAACCAGGGGACCTGGAGGAGGCAAAGCCAAAGAGTGAGTCAGAACCCCAGAATGGTGTAATCCCAGCAGTCAAGAGGCTGAGGCAGGAGGATTGCCATGAGTTCAAGGCCAGTCTGGGTTACACAGTGAGATAAAGGACAGCCTAAACTACAAAGTGAAACCTTGTCTCAAAAAACAAAACAAACAACAAAAACAACAGAGTCAGAAAGATTCAGTGAAGGGGGCCGGGGATGTAGCTCAGTGGTTTCACCGCCTGCTGCGCTAGCGCAAAGACCAAGTTTGATCCCCGGTACCAAAAAAAAAAAGAAAAAGATTCAGTGAAGGACAAGTCAATGACCAAGGCCAGTATAACTAGAGGCTCAGTAAACAAAGGCCTCATCAGACTGGCTGTTTAAAGCTACAATTAATGGTGCTTGCTACATATACCAAGCTACTATAAGCCCACATCTAAGCCAAACATTCCTGCTTGTAACCTCATGTTAATTTGGCTGAACCATAATTATTTGTGTGTATAAAAACCCTAGACAAGTCTCTTTGGAAACCCTTTTTAGGGCCCCTCCAAGGTTTATTTGCCTAAGGGCTTTTTGCTTTCACTTTACAATAAATGCTGCTTTCCCTCTACAATAAAATCTTTTGTTCAGTCTTCTTTTGACTCTCTACCTTGTAATCCTTTCTGCATCAAGAGAACCCACCAGTCAGATCGTAACAGTCTGCTGTAGCTAGAGTAGGGATGTTATCCATCTCTTAAACTTTGAACATTTTAAAAAAGAACGACATTTGTTTTTTTATAACACAACTCAAAAAAATTTTAGAGCCAGAAGAGAAATGGCATTGACCAATGTGTGGTTTAGAAAGATCACCAAGGAGAAATCAGAAGTGCATTACATATTAAAGATCAAGCATCAAGGAAATTAGTTGGGAGGCTTTTTCAGTAGCCCTGTAAGAAAGGAGAGCCTGAACTATGGCAGCAGCAGTGGAGTGAAAAAGGTGCACTAGATGTAAGAAAGATTTAGGGCTTGGTCACAGACTGAATGCAGGGACTGAGAAAGAGGTAGTTGTGACTCCCAGGTTTTTGGCTGGGGCAAGTAGGTGAGTGGTATTAACACTGAGACAGATTAAAGTCTCTGTAAGGAGAAAACACAAGATGAGTTTTAGATGACTTGAATATGAAAGTCTGTAAGATAGTTTAATACAGATATTTAGTAGGCAGCTATGAGCACAAACCTGTAGATTATGGCAACAACCAGATCAGAGAAAATGATCTGGTAAATCGTCATATAAATAGAAGCTAAAGGATGTAGTATGAAAGAGAGCAAGAGTGGGGGGAGAAAAAGACTTTGGACAGAATGTTTGAAATCACCAACTCTTCATGGTGTGCACTCAGGAAATGAGACCTGAAAACTGCTAAAAAGTAAAGGGAAATGGTGTGTCTGGTAGGGCCATTTAACAAAACTCAGTGTCTGCCACAATCAGTATGTTCAAGAGTCAACTGGTGTGTAGGCCCATAGGTACCTGGAAAGCCTGAAGGAGCAGGATCACAAATTCAAAGACAGTGTGAGCAACTGAATGAGGCCCTGCTATTACAGGCAGCTAAGTTAAGTAAAAATTAATATACAGAAAGGGACTGGGTTCTCAAGGAAGTCAGTGAAAAATAAAGACATCATAATTGTGTCTGGAGGTGCATCTGTTGAAGGCCAGGCCTCAACATAAAGATGCAATGACAAGGCCAACATTCCTCCCTGACAGATAAACAGTAATTTGAGACTGTACTATGACTGGTATCATCTGGTCCAGTAAAGTCCAGATATGCATCAGTCACCTAGGTGGGTGACCAAAGCACTGGACCTATCCCTTCCCCAAAATGCCTTTGTTCTTTGTACCCTTGCTAAGGGAATGGCTTCCCTATTGAATTAATAGTAGCTAAGTGGCTATACTTGGAATCCTATAGGTTGATGGCAGTTTAACTCACCTTGTACCCACATTGTGATTTTGCTGTATAAATTTCCCCTAACACACCTGGGACACCTCCTGTCTCTCAGGACCTCTCAATAAACCTTTCCTACTCTTAACCTCTCTTGTTCCTTGAAATTTATTCTTCGATTTCAGGGGACACGGACTAATCACATCTGACATCCAGCAGGTTAACAATTATATTTCTCCTGTATCATTGCCTCAAAGTAAAAATGGTTGGGGATGTAGCCCAGGGGTGAAGCGTTTGCCAAGCACACGTCAGACCCCGAGTTCAGTCCCTTGTACAGGAAAGAAGAGCAAACCAGCACTCTGTCCTCCCTCTCTGCTGTGACTCTGCAGACTCGTTCCGCCCTTTCCAGTCCCTTCAAAGTTCTCTGTTATCTGACTCCCAGCGCCCCAGCCCCAGGCCTATGTACCTGTCGGGAGCGGCTACAATGGGCTTTTAGAAGTCTCCAGAATCTGCCCCTCAAACTCCTGTTCCCTTTTTAACATTTTCTTGACGGTGAACCCCGAGGGGCTGCAGCTTACACAACTTGAGTCCCCAAGCCTACACCCACGTTTGCCTGTGATAGGAACACAAAACTGATGCAGACCTCTCACTGTTTCTCACATGCTTCCAGTGAAATTCCTGTTTCTTTGCCTTGCACCTCTCTCAAGTCTTATCTACGATGGTCGGACTAAAATTACACAGGGAGAGCCTCTGCAAAGAAACACGCCAGTCAGGCACAGGAAACAGAAGGCACGACCTTCTAGCCGCCGGAAAACCCACTCGCCTCCGAGACCAGACTGGGCCTGACGTAACTACCGGTTAGAGCCCCGCCCCTCTCGCGGCCCTGCCTCCTAGGGGCCTTGGCCGGGCCAGTCGCTCCCGCCTGGCTTTCGTCTCTTCCGCTCGGCTGGCGCTGACCGGAGCTGAGGACATGGCTAAGCAGGTATCTCCAGCCGAGGAGGCCCTTCTCCGAGGAAGGGAGGGTAGCACCCGGCTGCTGTCCAGAGGCGCGCGGACTCGGCCTGGGAGGCGATCCTGCTATCGACTCTTCAACGGAGCCTCTCGCGAGCTCAGCCAGAAAAAGAAAGAGAAGCTTCGTTTGGACTTCCCTGTTGCGCAGGGACTTTGCTTTCTCTTCTCCTGGCTGGGGGAGGGGGTGGGACGGTGTCTGGGCCCGGCGTGTCCTTTGCCCTCCTCTTGGCCTTGGGCAGCCCACTGGGCCGTGCTTGCAGGTAGTGGAGCTGCACCCTGCTGCTCACTCCTGGTCTGATTGCGTTTCCTAATTGCGGTTCCTTACAGCCTAAGCCTACTTATTGGGTAGGCCTCCAAGGAATGTGTTTTAGGGAGACTCAGGCCCCTTTCTTTAATAGTTTAATAGTTTTGAGTTGTTAGGTATAGTATAAACAGATTTATATCCTTCACTCCTTACATAACACCTCTGCGAGTTATCCCCATTTTACAGACTAAAAACTCAGGCTTAAGAAGTTGATTGGTTGGTTGTGCTTAGTGGTCCTGTGGTACGACAGACGGGTCAGGATTCCAGCCCAAGTTGTCACAGTGTGACAAAATCTGGAAAGCCTGTTAACAAAGGCAGAAATATACTAGAAGTAACTAGAAGGTATACCATCTTAAATGTTGAAGTTTAGAAGAAATGGTAAACTATGATCTCTAATAAATACTTATATGCAGTTTTTTTTCCTTATTAAGTATCTCTAGAGAAGTTCAGAATGTATAACTCATGATAGTTCAAATGCTGAAGTAGGGAGTTTCTTCTGGAGTGTGGCTTTTGTTTTAGAATAAAAAGAGAGGGGCATTAAATTTAGATTCTGGATGAATTATTCGTGTTGTTTTGAATCTCTAGGTTACAAATTAAATTGTAGGTTCTAAATTTGATCCTTTGGCATTTTGCTTGTAGATCTGTTGTACATTGAGAGGAAAAGAGATTCTAATACAAATTAGAATCTGGATTTGTCTATAAATTTTTTATATTGTCAGATTTAATATGTACATTTTAATTTTAAAAGTGGTAATTTCCAGCATTTTTGCCCAGTCAGCCCACTCCTTACTAAATCTACACTGTGATCAAAATATGCAGTGAATGTTTAAATTTTAAAGTTATTACAGTAGAAGACACGTTGCCATTAATCCTCGTCAGAATACTCCTCACTTCAAATACCCTTATCCCATGGGTTTTGCCACTTTCTGAAGCAATTCTGAAGTTCTCTTTTGTGAATCTCTACAAGATGTGATTAAAAGTACCATGAATGCAGTTGCCTAGTGTCATCTGTTGAAAGACAGGCTGGTAAAAACAGCCTCATTTGTCCTCATCCACCTTTTTCCCAGGATATAGAACTGTGCAACTTCTAGCTCTTCTCCAAAGTCAGAATGACCTTTGAAGGTCACTGTTTTGAAAGATTTAGGACGTGCAGGCAGCTATGACAGCGCCACTAAAGACACTCAGAAAGTAGCAAGAATGATGGGATATGTGTGTTTAAAGTGAGGGATGGTATTGTGAGGGGGATTAGTAGCAATGTGTTTTTTACTGTAATTATTTTTCTTGTTCTCAGCTAGTTTATTTCATACACACAGAGGGTTTTAATGTCCAGCCATAGCAGTGTTCAATATTTTTTAATTTAAATATTCACCCACTGTATTTTTCAATAACACCTCATATATATAGTTCACTGCTCCTTTTCCTCCAATCTTCATTCTGCTGCCACTGATAACTTGATAACTACTAGCTTGTTTTTGCAAAGCTGCACTGTACCAAGAACAGGGAGTCTTAAGTTTATCCTCATTAATTCTTCCTAATCACCCTGTCTGTATTTTATCACCATTTGTAACTGCCTCATCCTTGTCTTTCAGTACCCAGGTTAAAAGTGATGCTTTTCGAAAAGTACCAGTCAACTATGTCTTCCTTCATTTTTTTGCTTTCTATAGTACTTTGTACTTGTTTAAGTTAACATTTTTTGTAATTATTGATTTTCGAGTCTGTCTCTTATAGACCCAGTGGTTTTCAACGTTTATTCTGTCAATACATTTCATAAGCATTATGTGAACTGATCAAGATCTTCCTCTGATGCTTGATTCTCTGGTAGTGAAGGGATATACTGACTATATCTCTAAGGCAGCTCTATGCCATAGATACAAGTCACACATGTAATTTTAAATTTTCTGATAGTCACATTAAAAAGTAAGGGAGGGCCAGGGATTTAACTCAATGGTTCTGCTGCCTGCCTTGCAAGCACAAGTTCCCGAGTTTGATCCCTGGTACCAAAAAAAAAAAAAAAAGTAAGGGACATGTGAAGTTAATTTTAGTAGTACATTTAGATGATTCAGTAAATTAAAAATGCTATTTCAACATGTAATCAGTATTTTAAAAATATTTTTACCCCTTTTTTACTGTGTCTTCTAAATCTAGGTATAGTTTACATTTATAGCATATCTCAGTTCAGACTGGCCATTTTTTTGTTACAGTAGCCACACTTGGCAAATGGCTACTGTAAAAGATAGCAGAGCTATAACAGGTAGATACAGTTTTTTTAAGTTTCCCTATTTTGATATTAATATCTTCCTTCCCACCACCAGTTGTGGACTAAACTAGTACTATTTAAATCATCCTGAGAAAAGACTTTAATAGGGTATGTATTAATCATGGTTCCTTGGACCTCAGGCCAGCCCTACTGAATCGAATTCTCTTGGAATATATATTTATTTGTACCAGGGATTGAACTCAGGATCTTGCACTTGCAAGGCAGGCGGTAGCACCACTGAGCTAAATCCCTGGCCCAGGCATATGCATTTTTAATCTGCTCTTCTTTCTGCATTGTAGAGGGTCATTAAGTGTTTGATGAGTAAAACTTTTCAGCCAAAAGAGGCTTTTATGCTGACCTCGTAGTCAACTACGACCTTTAAAAATATGTTATTTATATAATTCTCCATATCAATTAGAGATATTTCTCTGTGAATCTGTGATAAACTTTCTAAAATTAGAATTCACTAGTAACAAAGTTTATCATTGAGCAATTATTAATTTAGGAGGGTAAACAGCTTACTCTCTTTTTCCCCCATTTTAGGTTATCAGATGCAAGGCTGCAGTTGCTTGGGAGGCTGGAAAGCCTCTTTCCATAGAGGAGATCGAGGTAGCACCTCCAAAGGCTCATGAAGTTCGAATTAAGGTAATGGTACATCTAAGGCACTGGGTGCCAAAAAAAAAAGAACAATTAGGTCTCTAGATTGATAAGTAGATCTGAGGTTTGCAGAGGATAAACCTTAAAGGACAACATCAAAGAGAAAGCTTTGAAACTCATTGAGCCTTAGACTCAAAACTTCCACCTCTAACCCCCTTACCTTTGCAGCAATATTCTCCATAGTTTTAGCTTTGGTGTAAGGTTAAGCAGCCATTTCTGTGGATTACTGAAATATAACTTCTGTAATTTGGGTTTGAGGATCCTCTTTTTGTTGATCCTATACATTTAAATATATGGTGTCTCATTAGAAACAAAGTTGTGCTGATAGGAACTTTAAATAAGATTTGAAAAGAACAATAAACAAATGAATTTGTTAATATTGCTTTCTTAGAGAGCTTTAAAATGTACTGTCCCCAGTGCTCAAGGCCAAGATAGAACAGATTTCACAATTCCATTGCTTCTGAGCTTCCATTGTGCCCAGAGAGAGATGCAAAGTATAAGGTGGTCAGCTAGATAGATCTTTAAAACCTTGATATTACAATTCCTTCCATTTTTAGCATTTTAAATTATTTTGATATAAAATTAATGCTTTAAAGTAGTGACGATTAAATAATGTTTTTTCCTAACATTGTACGAGTCAGCTCTTTTTACTATCACTGTAAGTATATCCCCCCCCATTCTACCTCCAAACATATACCACACATCCTGGTTCATGTTCTCAAAGATCTCACATATCAGGTGAAGAAACCTAGGATCAAATGATTTTTAAGGTCCTTTCTCCCTCCCGCCATCGGGTATCAAATTCAAGACCTTGAGCTTGCAAGGCAGGTGTGGCACCACAGAGCTAAATCCCTGACCTTAAGGTCCTTTTTGACCCAGGTCCAGGATTCTGAAATCTTTCAATATTTTGTATGTTTTCCTTCAAGTTCAGAAATTAAACTGAGGTACTTTTGCCATGAAGATGATTTTTATCCTGGTTATAATGAGGCAAGCTATATGGGGCACACTCAGATGAACTTTCATCCCTGGGAATCTACTGATATATGGCAGAGAATGTTACCTTGTATGTGGCTGTACAGGCCAGAAGCAGGATGTATGGACACTCCCAAGATTTTGCCTTTCTGTGCTTTTTGTGGTTTGAAAAGATACTTAAAATCAGAGAGATAGGAATAGAGGGCAAAAATAAAAAAATAAAAAATAAATTTAAAAAAAAGGAATAGAGCAGTTTCTTGAGTAGGTGTGGTGGCAAAGAAGGTTAAGTTAAGAAGGTTAAGGTTAAGTCCACTTAATGCTCTTGAGTTTTGGCCCGGATTCAAGCAGACTGGCATATTTCAGAAATAATATCCTTTTTAGGCATCACATTTCCCAGCAGTCATGAAGAAGCCTCCAGTGACGTGGGCTGTGTTTGACACACAGGTAGTCTGCCTTTTTTCACCTGAACACACAGTGCCCGTAACATCATGTTGTTTACCTTCTCTTGCCAACATTCACCAAAAAGGAAAATAGATGGGCCCCATTTCACTGTATATAAATGCATCAAAGCACCACCGAAACATGCTACCATTCTAATTGTTAGGATGCCATGGATTATAAATACTTGCTGATTTTAGAAAAGTTAAAATATGAAAGAAATATGTTAGAATCAACAGAATATGGTATTAATGTAAAATGCCTTTCATTTGACTTGTGCCCCTGAATTGTACATGTACACATACTTCAGTGCTTTTTCTTTAATATCCTGATAGATCATTGCCACTGCGGTTTGCCATACTGATGCATATACCCTGAGTGGAGCTGATCCTGAGGGGTGTTTTCCAGTGATCTTGGGACATGAGGGTGCTGGAATTGTGGAAAGTGTTGGCAAGGGAGTTACTAAACTTAAGGCAGGTAAGGAGAATATTTAAATCACTTATTTGATGACTTTGGCTAATTACTGTAGGAAAATTGCCTTATTAATAAATACATCACTGTTTATAAATAAGTTATCACCTAAGAAAGTTATCAAGATTGATTTCATTCCTTCTCTGGGCAGCACAAATATTTGGATACTGTTTTCCTGATTTTGTAGGGAACTCTTCATCTGAAACTGTATTAAGTATATTTCCAAAGCCAATTTGGCCAAATTAAGAATTTTTAGAGCTAATGGCAATCAAGCAGTATTTTGAAGTACGTGACTTCCTTGTCTTCCAGATACTGTTTTAAGAGTGTTTGTTTGTTTTTTTGTTGTCCAGTACCAGGGATTGAACTCAGGACCTTGCAGTTGCCAGACAGGCACCATGCCACTGAGCTGCATCCTGGCCCTAAGAGTTTTATTTATGTAAAGCTTTTGCAACATACTTTTTGCATGGCCGACAGTGTCTGAATGATGTTGTGTAGATAAAGTTTTAAACCTTGAAGTTACTAATTCTGCAGGGCTACATCAGCTGACAGGACTGAGAATTTCCAAGGGCTGCTGTGTTCTTTTAGAAACACGCCACCTGTTCAAGATGATGTCTTTGCATTTGTTTTCCAGGTGATACTGTCATCCCACTATATATCCCACAATGTGGGGAATGCAAATTTTGTTTAAATCCAAAAACGAACCTTTGCCAGAAGATAAGGTTAGTAGCTTTATATTATGTTCTTAAAACAAGACGTCATATTAACAATACTAAGAAATTGTGTGGCAGTTTATACCATGCATGTTACATAAATTATTTTATTCCATCTTCAGAGCAACCTATCACTGTAGTAGTAGCCCCATTTTATTGTGTGACTTAAGTAGTTTATTTAATTAAGTGTGATCTGTAAATGGCTTCATAAGAAATTTTAAAAGCAAACATTTTTAACAAAAAAGTATAAGAATTAACATCAAAATTATATTTCCTTTATAATACCGACATTTTGTTTCTGATATATGATCTACAAATTTTATAATATATTCTCTAATACCTGCACTGTTACATTTTAATGAGAAGTCGCGAAGTTAATTTAATTATTAACAGATTAATCATTAGTCACAATTTCTGCTATATAGTATGTAACTGTATGTAAAAAGCACAGAATTGCAAACAGTATGGAAATGTTAATAAATAGAAACTTCAACTTGAAAATAATATAGGGAGATATGAACATACAATAAATGTATGACGGGCCGGGGATTTAGCTCAGTGGTTCTGGCACCTGCCGTGCAAGCTCAAGGTCCTGCGTTCGATCCCCGGTACCAAAAAAAAAAGACTACCAATAAATGTATGAGAACATGCTTCCATTTCTCACATTGGAATAAGAAGGTGGATGGATTCAAAACACTTAAAAAGTCCCCAGGGCCCTGCTACATAAAGCTTGGGGTTTCCATGTTAATTCTCTTCCCTCTGGTAGATACTGGTAAGAGACTATTCAGTGGATGTAATTGTTAGTAAAATCTCACAAACTAGAGAAATGCTGTACTTTTAAAATATTAAGTTTACAGCCAGAGATTTAGCTCAGTGGTTCTGCTGCCTGCCTCTCAAGCGCAAGGTCCTGAGTTCGATCTCCAGTACCAAAAAAAAAAAATTAAGTTTACAAAGAGCTTTTCTAGTGAGTCGCGCATATTGGCACAAATACACCAATACATGAAAACTTTGAAAGTCTCCAAACTCTATCGTTGCCTCTTGCGTATAGGATTTCAATCTGGGCAAAAGAAGAAATGAGGGATTGGGCTGGGGATTTAGCTCAGTGGTGCTGTCGCGTGCCTAGCAAGCACAAGGTCCTGAGTTCGATCCCCAGTACCAAAAAAAAAAGGGATTATAAATCTTTCTTGCATAATTATGTGCTACAGTAGGGTCAGAGGTAGGTTAAGATTAAAAAACTTCATAAGAATATATATGATGCTCTAACTTTGCTTATATATTTATGAATAATGAGTAGCCTCATTTTTAAGGAAGAGATAAATTAAGACTCACAAATTAAGGGTTTGCCCAGTGTCACAAGCCATTAACATGTAAGACAGATTTTTCTGAAGTTGTTTTGTTTCCATAATGTTACGGTGAAATTGCAAGGAAGGACATGTTTGTGAGATTTAATTGAAATCATTTTTATGAGCCATTTTATTGTCCATGAAATCAAAGTAATAAAACATACCTCATAGGTTATGGGGAGCTTGGAAGAGATAACAAAACCCTTGACACATAAAAGGTCGTTATTTTATTGTAAGGTAATAGCACTTAAAAAACTGCTTCAAGGCATTTTAAGATCCCCTTTTGTTCCTTTTTCTCTTTTTAATTGAGTTTGGACACACATATACTGTAATATGCTACGTATGGGGTATAAATCTTAAGTGTACAGCTCAATGAATGTTTACATATCACACCTGATGATTAGAACCTTAACCTGGATCAAGATAGAGATCCTGGCTAGCACTCCTCAAAGTCCCTCATGTCCCTGCCAAGTCAATACCTACCTCCTTCAAAAGCAACTACCATCTTGATGTCTTTCTTGGTAAAACTTCCTATAAATTGAATCAGTGTGTGTACTTTTTTCATGTTTCATTCATAATGTCTGTGAGATATATTCAAATTGCTGTGTGCGTCTCTACTTTTTTGTTGCCCTGTCATATTCCAGGTACTATTTATCCGTTTTCCTGTTGGACATTTAGGTTGCTCCCAGCTTGGGGCTGTTATGAGTGCTACTAGAGACATTCTTATACATATCTTGTAGTGGATATGCACACTACTTCCTCCTGGGTGTTTAGAATTGCCAAATTATGGGATACATATCAATAGCTTATAGTGCCTGTGTTTACATTCCCACCAGCATTGTATGGGAGGTTTCAATTTATTCTTGTTTTCTAATGCCAATGATAAAATTAGTTTGTTTTTGTAAAAAAAAAAAATTACATTTATTTGATAATGTAAATCCTATTACTCTCAGCAGAGCTAGAACCAAAAAAAAAAAAAATTCTAGTTAAGTTTTAAAGGGAAATTTAAATACAATCTAAAAAATTTTGTAACACATCAACTGTATGATGATGATGGGCTTGTTATGACTGCGTAGCCTTTCAGAGGAAGTAGTTCTTTTAGAGCATCACCTTTTGTCCAAGAAACTCCTTTAGAACAGAGTGGTGTAGTAAATTTGCATTGCTCCCTAAAGATGTAGCAGTTGTTTTGGAAGAGATTTATCTCTAGTTCTTTATCTCTGGTCATATTTTTGTTTTCCTCTCAAGAGAAACATTTACTCTTGAATCTAGAAGCAATCTATTTTCTCATTTGTGTGTGTGTGTGTTTGTGTTTGTATGTAGGTATATATGTATATATGATATACACATATGTGGGTTTATCCAAGAGTGTATATCAAATTACAGTGCTTTTTAATTAAAAGTAACAAATAGTTACTAAATATTAACTCTGTGCCAGATACAATGACAATGTTTTACATAATAGAGTTTTAGAGCAGTCTAAAGGAAGATACTATTGTTTCTCCAAACTTTCCAGTGAGGAAACTAAGGCATAAAGGTTATCTTGCCCAGGATCATGTAGGTTTTGAACCAAGTGAACTGACTTTTAGAGCCTATACTCCCAGGCAAGATGTTAAGTTCTTTGTCCATTTTAGGATATTATAAGTAGTTTTTGTTACCACTTATTATATGCCTCTGTAAGTTTGGGGTTTTTTTTCTCTGTTGGTATAATTAACTACACAGTAAAACAGAAGAGTAAATACATGTTGAATCCTTGAGAACTGTTACACCTTTGAAGAATGCCTTCTGAGGGATCTAAATTAAATTAACCAGTTTAGCCATATGTTTTCATCAACTGATCTGGATAATTCTTGGAATTTCTACTTATGTAGATACTGGTTTGGGCATTATCTTTTCTGAAGCTACATTTGCTCACAGAGTTATATAATGCAACTTTTTAAAAATTTCATCTATATCTGTTAAATTGAGTTCAGAAATCTGACAGTAAGCTCCAGAAAGACATCAAAAGATAGGTAAGATTATAAGTCTCATAAGTTTACCTTATAAAGCATTGCAGAAATGAGCTAAATTATTAATGAATACATTAGAAATTAGACTTTTAGTACACTTTTCTGAATATTTATTAGTTATTGTTTTAAAAACTAATTTCTTCTGCAGGTTTTAAGAAACGCAATTTTACCCTGCCATTTTTCTTACTTTTCTTAGAGTCACTCAGGGGAAAGGATTAATGCCAGATGGTAGTAGCAGATTTACTTGCAAAGGAAAGACTATTTTACATTATATGGGAACCAGCACGTTTTCTGAATACACAGTTGTTGCTGATATCTCCGTTGCTAAAATAGATCCTTTGGCACCTTTGGATAAAGTCTGCCTTCTTGGTTGTGGTATTTCAACTGGTTATGGTGCTGTTGTAAACACTGCCAAGGTAAGAGTTAGCACCTGCCTCCTAATTCAACTGCAAAACTGGCCTGCTCTGTAAAAAACCTAGTGATTCCTAGACTCTGGAATGAGTGTCTTATAAACTGTTTTTACTGTTAGGTGGAACCTGGTTCTACTTGTGCTGTCTTTGGCCTGGGAGGAGTTGGATTGGCAGTTATCATGGGCTGTAAAATAGCTGGTGCATCACGGATCATTGGTATAGACATCAATAAAGATAAATTTTCAAGGGCCAGAGAATTTGGAGCCTCCGATTGTATTAATCCCCAGGACTTCTGTAAACCCATCCAAGACGTACTCATTGAGATGACAGATGGAGGAGTGGACTATTCCTTTGAGTGTATTGGTAATGTGAAGGTCATGGTGAGTATGCTTCACTTTATTCTTTTTTGTTGTTGTTTGTGGAACCTTTTTAAAAATGCATTTTCCTTAAGATTAAAAATCGTTTTGTTTTTGAAATAGAAAGGTCTTTTGATAAGAATAGTCTGAGGTAAGGGAAAAAACTATTTGAACTATGAATGGAAATGATACAAAAGAATTATTCTAATGAAAGAAGGGAAAAGTAACTATTTCAACTATACATGGAAATATACAAAACAACCCAGGGAAAGATGAAAAAGATGTATCTTTGCTTTTCAATTATGTACAAATTTATGTCTCATTAAATGAAAAAGCAGAATAAACTTCATTTTCATCATCTGTGAAATGCACATAGCAGCAACACCTACATGACACTAAGTACACATTTAGTAATAAGTATTACTACTACATCTCCTACCTGCTTTTTTCCTCTTTACAATTTTGAACTAGGAGTTCCTTTTTCTAATTTTCAACTGATACATAAAGTTTGTACATATTAATAGGTACCATGTAATAGTCAATACATGTGTACATTGCATAATATTTAAATCAAGTTAAACATATTACTCTTCAAACATTTGTCATTCTTCCTATATGGCAAAAACTTTCAAATCTTTCTAGCTTGTTGAAATGTATAGTACATTATTCTTATCCATCATCATCCTGCTGTACAACAAACAGTACTTCAGAGCTTCTTGCTTCCATACTATAACTTGGTACCCATTAATTAACCTTTCTCCATCTCTCCCCTCAACCTCCTATACCTGAATACCACCTATTCCTTATGCCTTCATCAGCTGGTGAACACTTAGGTTGTTTCTATTTCTTGGCTGTTAATAGTGTTGCAGTGGACATAAGGGTAATAATTTGTATCCTGATATTTAGTGTGTTGAGCATGTTTTCATATGCCGGTTGGCCATTTATATATCATCTTTTGAGAAATGTCTATGGCCCATTTTTATTTTATTTTTTTCCCTTAAATTCTTTTATTGGTACATTTTAGGTATACAATACATTTACGTTTATCATTGGGTACTTGTACCTGTACATGATGTATCTTGATTCTTATTTTTTCCCCATTCCCTGTCCTCCCTTCACCCCCTCCACCCTTCCCTATTTACAAAGACCTTGTATGGCCCATTTTTAAATTGTGTTGTTTTAAGCATTTTAGAGGTCCTTGTAAGTTATACATATTGACCTCTTGTCAGATTTATAGTTCACAAATGTTTTCTCCCATTTTCTACATTGTCTTTGTACTGTTGTTTTATTTGCTCTCCAGAAGCATTTCAGTTTAATAAAATCCCATTCATTTATTTTTTCTTTTATTTCCTGTGCTTTTGGGGTCTTGTCCAAAAAATTCTTGTCCATTCCATTGTGTAGAAGTACTTCCCTGTATTTTCTTTCAGTCATTTGATCATTTAATTCTAAACTATTTTGAGCTGATTTTGAACCTGTACAAGAGAGGTGTCTAGGTTTATTCTTTTGCATGTGGAGATAGGATTTACAGTGGTGTCTTGGTTCACAAACTTATTTCATTCCACAATCCTGGAAAACATGGCCACATTCATGTTCATGTGGGAAAGATGCTGTGGTTGTGTTCTTCACCTGATGCAGAGTTCACAAACAAAACAAAATTTTGCCAAAGGCTTTGGTTTGTGAATCAAATTGTTCGCAAACAAAAGCATTTGTGGGGCTGGGGATTTAGCTCAGTGGTTCCGCCGCCTGCCTTGCAAGCACAAGGACCTAAGTAAGATCCCCAGTACCAAAAAAAAAAGCGTTTGTGAAGTAAGGTAACACTGTATTTTTAAAATAAAAGCTTTAAATTTGTTCACTTTGTTCAAATATTAATTTACTCAGGTTAATAATTTTTAAACATTAAAAATCAAAACTACTCTGAGTTTTCACCTTACCCCAATATGAATGGCTGTCATCAGACAAAAGATAACAAGCACTGGCAGGGACCTGGAGAAAAGGGAATCCTTGCACGGTGTTGGTGGGAATGTAAATTGGTATGACCATTATGGAAAACAGTATGAAGATTCCTCGAAAAGTTGAAAATAGAACTATCATATCATCCAGCCAATGTATTACTGGATATAGGAGAAGTAATTTAAAAAATAGGGTGAATGTTTAATATTACAGTAAGACACATTACCATTAGTCCCCCTCAGAGTACTTAAAATACTCCCTCTCTTCAAACACACTTATCCTTTCATTCTTGGCAATGTGTATTTTACTATAATGTGGGTTTTTTTAATGTAAGCATTTGCCATATATTTTAAAACCCCTTGTATTTCCAAAGGAAATGAGATTAGTATATCCAACACTTGCACTCCCATGTTTATTGCAAAACTATAAACCTGTTAAAATATACTTGCTCAGGAAGGATGCTCCCCACCTCCATCCCAGGCTCCTAGGGCAGAGTAGCTCAGCCAGTCCCAGAACCCCGAAGGAAGCACCCCACCACCATCCCAGGCTCCTAGGGCAGAGAAGCTCAGCTGGTCCCAGCACCCAGAAGGAAACTCCCCCACTGCCATCCCAGGCTTCTAGGGCAGAGAAGGTGAGCTGGTCCCAGCACCTGGAAGGAAGCTCCCCACCTCCATCCCAGGATCCTAGGGGAGAAAAGCTCAACTGGTCCCAGCACCCAGAAGGAAGCTCCCCCGCTGCCATCCCAGGCTCCCAGGGCAGAGAAGGTGAGCTGGTCACAGCACCCAGAAGGAAGCTCCCCCACCACTATCCCAAGCTCCTAGGGCAGAGAAGCTGAGCCGGTCCCAGAACCCAGAAGGAAGCTCCCCTGCTGCCATCCCAAGGTCCTAGGGCAGAGAAGGTGAGCTGCGTGGCCACCAGAAGCACCCCCACCCCCACCCCGTGGAAATGAGAAAACACATAAACAAGCCTCAAAACCAGAGTTCCAGATCACCTACAGCAACCCCAAAGGGAAACAAGATGCAATCTAATACTCAACCACCTGGACTCTCTGAACTGGCAACAAAAGAGGATCTGGGAAAAATGAAATCAGAAATTATTACTCAGATAACAGCAAAGATTTTGCTCATGGTGCAAGACGTGATTAATAAATCTAGAGAGGACA